GGTGAATGGCTTCACCTGGGCGCGCAAGTCATCAGCTGCAGACGGGGCCTCCTCAGTATCGTCCTGCGTCATCTCCGCCGGCTTCTCTTGAGTCACATCCACATCCATCGCTTCGTCACTAGTGCCTGCATCCGGCGACTCCGTTTCAGCAGACACGCTAGTCGCGTCTACCTCCGCCGTCAACTTTCTCACCGCGTTGATGTTCGTGAAGATGCGGTTCACAGCTCCAACCGCCGCCTCCTTCGTAAGCGACACCAAATCTGCTCCAACATATCCAGGCGTACGGCGGGCAAGCGCAGCGAAATCAAAGTCTCCCTCGAGCGTCATCTTCCTCGCCAACACCCGCAGAATCTTTTCTCTCGCCTCCTCATCTGGAATGCCAAGGCAAATCTCCCTATCAAAGCGTCCAGCACGACGCAGCGCCGAGTCCAGCGCGTCCGGCCGATTCGTCGCTCCGATCAGAACCACGGGCTTCCCTCCGGTATTCTCCAGACTCAACGAGTCGGTGCTCGTCAGCAACTGGGCCACAATTCTCTTCTCCATGCCACGCGCCGACGTCTCGCGCTTGGGCGTAATGGCGTCAATCTCGTCGATAAAGATAATAGACGGGGCCCTCGCGATAGCCTCGTCGAAAAGCTCCCGGAGCTTCTGCTCCGACTCACCCGACATTCCCGAGACCACCTCAGGAGCCGAGATCTTCAAGAACGTCGCGCCGCACTCCCCCGCAATGGCATGAGCCAGCATGGACTTGCCCGTGCCGGGAGGTCCATGCAGCAGCACACCTCTGGGCGGCTCCACGCCCAGGTGGGCGTACACTTCAGGGTGCGTCAGCGGGTACTCAATGAGCTCCCGGACCTCCTGCAGCACGGCCTGGATGCCCCCCACGTCGCTGTATCTCGTCGTGGGGCGCTCCACCACGAAGCCCTTGCTGTCGTCCCCGTCCCGCGAGGCGTTGTCGTCCTCCAGAGCCTCCTTCTTCACGCGTTTGCGCAGGATTTTAACCTTCTTGGCCGCCGGTTTGTCCGCCGACTTGGCCGCGTAGTTCTGCTGGATGGCGCGGTTCAGCGAGTTGCCGCCGCCCGCCGCCGCCAGCTGCTGCTCCTGCGCGCGGAGCTGCGCCTCGTCCCCGCTGCTGCTCTCGGAGCGCGAACGCTTGGGCGTCTCGCCGCCGCTGGCCTTTGCGTCCGACGCCTTCTTCAGCACCTTGGCCACGACCTTGCGCAGCGCGCCCTGCGGCTTGCGCTGGTATTCGGCGTAAGTCTCGCGCAGGTGCGAGGTGACGGTGGCCTCGCCGGGGCGGGCGCCGCGCTCCTCGCACTCGCGCAGGTAGCGCCGCACGTGGAAGCTCACCTTAGCCTCCATGACGGCGAGTTCGAGAGTGTGTGTCGGCTTGACTGGCGGGGGCGACTTCGAGGGGACAGGCAGTGTGGTGTGGCGCACATAACACGTTGAAGCTAACATGGCTACATTGCACAAACACATTCGCTTCAACCACTCGGTGGTGCCCGCAGAAGTGATTCACAACGCAAGCGTATACTAGTACATGTATGCAGTTGAACAGTTATGATCAGCGTCGACCACTGTTTCAACTCTATTCCGGCGACCGTGGTATGGCGAATAGCCATTCGTTCTGACTGCTTTTGTTGCTCGTGCGACCTAGCCTTCACACTTCAAATGATTCGCGTTGACACCCCTTTCCTGAACTGCGTCCCAACAACCATGCACAAGAGCAAGGTTATCTATGTAATGCTCCACGCTCAGGGCTTTCACAATCACAAGATACTGGAGTAAAGCGCGGTGCTGGGAGGACGAGTTCGACCCAACAAGGCCGCCGACAGCCGGCGCCAACGTCAAACCTTCTCTAAATGTATCAACCAGGCTTTAGGACGCTCCGGAGCCTCAGGTCTGTGTCTCAGTATGTCATGTGCACGTCCCCGAACGCCCTCCAACTCCAAGATGGTCGATCACACAGTCTGTAGTCACAAACGGGCTTCCTGGCCCTTAAATAAAAATATCGCTGCATGACCTACACATACCCCGCACTTCCTTCACCTCCTCGCCGACCTGCTACACAGCCTGTAAAAATAAAAGTGGACATTGGGAACTCTGTTCCGTATTTACGTATGACCCAGCACGCCCCTCACAACCTTCCGACATACTGGAGGCCATCAACATACCCACCAAGACTCGCCGGCCAATTTCAGCGAGCCTCCAGCGCTCCGCAAGTCCACAGACAGCCTGCACCCACCTTGCACCCACCTTATACCCACCTAGGCCAACTGGCAGGTTTCGACCGTCTACCAGCGTCCTACCAGTCCGTAGACAGCCTGCACCCACTCCTCACCCACCTTGCACCCACCTCTGGTTCTGGCCGTAGACGTACTGCTAGTTTAGCAGTGCTAGACAGGGCCCCGCAAATGATTTGGACTATTGATGAAAAGGGTTTAAATTTCGCTTCCTTTGCCATGTCCTGCATCTTGAAGACACAAAACACGCTAGATTGGGAGCTGGAATTCACACCAACGATCAACGTGTATTGCTCGCCGGAATTGCTATTTACGAACTGTTCCTAAGCCTGTTCCTGTGTCTGTCCCCACGACGACCCCAGCCATTTCGCCCGGTCCAATATTTTGCTTCCCCGCTACTTGCCGGCGCCTCCAACGCTCGCCGGCCATGATGTCGCGTTGCATCATGTCCTGAGTGCATTCGCTCTACTGGGCGTAGTCTTCTGCCATGGAGCGGATGACTTTATCCCAGTATACCAGATCAGTTTTCGTTCCCTCGATATGGACCTGTGTACTTCTCTGTGTATCCATCACTCTGGTCGCGAGCGTGACGGCCATTATTGGGTTCTCCATGACCCATACTTTTTGGGTTGGGTTGTGAGTCTTCGAGCAAAACTGCAGTTTCTTTTCGAGTTGCGCCTTGAGCTTTCCATACCGTTTGTACGCAAGTTAATTCGACGACATAGCATGATGTAAATTACCGTGCCAGTTTCGCGCACTCGACCGGTTTCATGTCACTTATGGTTTGGCCAATTAGAAAATGTAAAAACAAACTATTCGGTAAACTATTGCTAAAAAGTCTACGTGCGCTGCCAACCACGAAACCCTTCAAACTGTATTCGATCATGACACATTTCCCGCCAAATTGTCCAGTCACCAATTTCCACTGAGGGCTACAACCACCACATCCACCACTATTCCAGACACTACTACCATACCCTCGTACACGATCAAAGACCTCAACGTTGCTGTGAAGCGCGTTCTCGCCGGCGAAAATGCTGCTCGTTGTACCAGTACTGCCACTCTTATTCCGGAACGCACCCTTAGAAAGTGGGTTGCGATGGGGAAATTGGACATCTTTTGTTCACCGGTCCACCGTGGATCAGCACGTTTGCTGTCATCTTCAACGGAGACATGCTTGGTCGAGTGGTCGGACGCCAGATGGTGGGCCGCCCAGTTAGCCGGAAGGGGGCCATTTACAAGGCCAGCACCACCCGTTCCATGGCCACGGAACAACGTGCTGGTGGTGGGTGGTACCATCGCTTTATGAATCGAAACTCCGTCCTCACCACAAGGACGGCTCAAGCGGAGAGGAAAGCCCGCAATTTCGTGAGCATGGACGACGTAGTGTTGCTGTTCAACGCACTGGTCAAGACCGTGATCGAGAACCAGCTAGGCGCATTAACATGGATGAGACGGCATTTCAAACAAACAAGGGGTCCAAGCGCGTCGTCGCTGTCCGAGGGTCAACAAATGTTTGGCACCAAGAAGTCGCAGTCAACTTCCATCTTAACTTAGCATGCGGCGGCGCCTCGGGGTCCATGGTGCCACCTGTGTACGTTCTGCCAGGCTCAACGGTCAAGATTAAAGTACTGTACGGCTGTGCAATGCCAAGCGCCGCGGTGACTACGTCGAGCTTCGGGTTTATGAATGGGATTCTGTTCAGCTTGTGGCTGCACTTCTTCGTGGTGAACGTTCCGGACCGAGTCCAGCGACGTCTGCTGTTAATCATGGACGGGTGTTCCTCTCACTATTCGCTGGAAATCGTCATCGAGGCGGAACGACTTGGCGTTATCCTGCTTTTTTATCCGTCTAGTGCTACTTGTTACAGTCGCTTGATATTGCAGAGTTTTCGTCGTTCAAAGCCAAGTTACGTTGCCACACTGAGATCTACGTGCGTGAGACTGGCTGCAACTCTGTGGACAAAACGGAAGCTATCAACATGGCAAACGCTGGGTGGCTGGCGTGCAAGATGGGTGATAATACCAAGGCGGGGTTTGCTGGATACGGCCTCTTCCCACCTTCGAAGCCTCGGATGGATGCCTGCATTGACAACTTCATCCGCAATGATGCCCCGGAGACGACCAAGCTAACTTCGTGGATTCGTATCAAGGATACAGTGGAGAAAGAGGTGCTGGTGTTGCCACCATCCAAGAAGCGTGTGCGGAAGACAGCAACAGTTTCAGGTCGTCTACTTATTCGTGAAGTGCTCGATGCGATCACAAGACCACCCACGAAGCCCAAAACAAAACGACCCAAGCCCAAGAAGAGGGTACCCAAGACGAAGAAGGTGTCCAAGATCAAGAAGGCAAAGGTGGTAGCTTCGGCGAAAGCAGCGCTTTCAGTTCTACCAGCTGAAAGAACTCTACAATGCGACGTGGTCATGGAAGCAATTATTTAGATAGACAAATTGATACGGTTTCGAACCACATTTCCATTCTAAGTCGCGTTGTTTGTTTCTGCTTTCTTATTGTTGTTTTTCTTTCTATCTACATTGATACGATATCCCTCTAGATGCCTGGGCCCGCTGTGATGTCAGGCTTTGGAGATTTCACAACCTCAAACCGTTTCCAGAAGGAAGCCCGACGCATGGTACTGAGCATACTGGCGGTCAATCAGTTCACCCGGTGGCAGCCGTCGGTTGCTTGCGCAGTTCTGTGATGGCCGCAGAATGATCTTGTTGAAAGTCAGCACACTGGTGATGAGTTGAGTTGATGCTGCCAGGCGGAATCGAACCACCATCCTCTCGGTTATGAGCCGAGGATTTTACTATGGCAACGCTGCCTATCAAATCCGATTGGACTAATGAGTCCATTTTAAACGGAATGATCGTTAAGCTGTTTTTGAGTTTTTACTAAAGGGTTTTGAAGTCGCGCCATCGATTTTTCGTATCTAAACGGGAAGCGAGAAAACGGCATGGAACCAAAATTCAATTCAAAATGACCGTTAACGAAGGCAGACTTTCACTTGCCTTTTTCAAGCAGTTCTGAACATTTTTAGGGATTCTAGAAGACGTTATTCGATTCATAATTGCATGTAGATCATGCTGGCCGAAAAAAAAATAGACCACTTGCCTCCAGCAAGGAGATAATTTTTTCAAGCCGCCTTAACTTTGTTCGACCCAGGTTTTCTTGCAAGCAAGGACTCTATCGTGTAGTCCAGACGCTTCGCTTTTCAATGGTGTGCACAACTCCAATTTGAGACATAGGTAACGATCATTTGGTTTGGAATGGACTCATAAATATTATTTATACTCAAATTTCAAGATATTTCTTTGGACACGCAATAACAGATAACCTCTCGCAACCCATGCTGGCCCATACAAGCAAAATTGGGATTTGCTCCCTAACAGAAACAAAGATAACATGCGGCAGAAAAATGGTATTTCAGTAACATCAGTCAATAGCTTCTAATTGCGCTCCGGTTTGCGGACAGCGCTGTAAATCCGTTAAAAAAAAAACGGAGATGACGCTTGTGCCTTTAGTGCTCAAAAATAACACATCAGCGGCATCTATGATATTGCCATGAGGTTCTGGTACAGTAGTTTATCACAGTTGCCAGAAATGCGAATGCGAATCTAGCAAATAGACTTTGGCGCAGTATGGTGCGAACTTAATGTGACAGATTTACGGTATGTGTGGCAGTGATCTTATCACACCTTCTAGCGACCTTTCATCATAGATAATCAGAGTGCAATGTGCCGCGCGGCCGAAAGAGAGATCTCGAGGATTCAACCAATAGAGCTGCTGTGGCGCAGTCGCTTCAGTCCAAGCGGACGAACACGAGTACCAAGCGCACATATCTGTCGAAAATAAACATTATGACGGCGTGGCTTGCTTTACACTATCCCGACACTATCGACGCCGACATCAAACAGATGCGCGTCCCTCTCCCCAAAGACGCTATTCTCTCGTTTTTCGGCCATATCTGCGGTCCCGCCCACGCGTGTGATCACGATAATGTGAAAGCGAAGGACTCTCCACGTGTCCCGCTCTCAGTATCGTGCATATGAGGCTACAGCAGCGCACTTGTTGACGTGTATCGCGCCAAACTTCTCGAGCTCGACCCGCAACTCGACACAGAGCTGCGTCGCGTCCTGGAAGGAAAAGCTCATAAATAGTTTGAAGAAGCGTGGATTGATAAGAAATCAACGAGGGAAAGCGCCAACTCACAGCAGCGGATTCGAGCTCCTTGCATTGAAGCTGATGACAATTCATCCAGAGAAAAAGGGCCAGACCTGGCCTACAGTGTTGTTTGGATGGAGCTTTTTCGTGCTAATGTGGAATTTGATGAGCCGCTCGGGCTCCATCGATACCATCATGTTACAGCACATTGAGTGGACTGACAATTGCCTCGTTATAGAAGAGCAAGGGCACAAGGGCGATCAGACTGGTACTGACAAGTTCGGCAAGCATGTGTACGCGAACCCGTACGCGCCATCGCAATGCGCAATAGTAGCTCTCGCTGTGCATCTCCTTTCCTGTCCTGAACGCTCTATCGATGGCAAGCAACAGCTTTTCATTGGAAGTGACAACAAGAATCGATTTGGGCGCATGTTACGCCGTGTTATTTGCGAATTGAGCGAGGAGGAGATGTGCATAATGAGCTGCGTCGTGGAAGACATCGGCACTCACAGTCTGCGTAAGGGTAGTAGCTCGTATGCTCTTGGGCAAGTAAACGGCCCCATCTCCGTGTCTGTTTACCTGCGTATGGGCCAGAGCCTCGGAAAACTAAAGGACCGGTACATTCATTCTGGAGAAGGAGCAGACCAGCTATGTGGGAGGATGATTGCTAAGTTGCCGTTCAATTCTGAGCGTTTCGGTGTGCTGCCACCGCACTTTCCGCCTGCGATAGTTAGCGATATGACGACCGAGTACTGGGATGAAATTGTGAGCGGGTTCTCTAACTACCCATGTGGAGTTCAGTCAGCTTTTCCATTTCTATTGGCGTCAATTACACTCCACGACACAATTGATCACCCACCGACGTTTGGGACTGTAGCTCCGTCAATATTTGGAGTTAGCGGCCGCTATTTAGATATGTGTATGCTGTCATTGGTAGAAATTCAAGATTGGCGCAATTTCGCACGTCGTAGGGGACCTCCCATACAACTTTCCATTTTCACTGTCGCGACACAATATATCACCCACCCAACACATACGAAAGCCAAGTATAATAGAATGATGGTCAGATAGGGAAATGAATGGCACGTGTGACGCAACCTACACTCAAGTGGCGCTGCGAGCTGTTGGCGAGGGACTCATTCTCGAAGATGCCGTCAAGAAAGAAGCCCCCGCCCACCAAGAAACCCCGCCTAACCGACCGTGAGCGCGGCAAGATTGAAGGCCTCCACGAGGCCGGCCTGAGCGCTCGTGCAATCGCGCAAAGGACTGGGCGCTGCCCGCAGACCGTAAGGCGCGTCGTGGGCCCTGCTCGCCCATCCGCCCAGACCAAGCAATCCGGACGAGCCCCAGCCCTGACTGACCGCGCGACCCGGCGCCTCGTGCGAACCGCCGCGAAAGGCGAGCTCTCCACCTCCAAGCTGAAGGCAGAGCTTGAGCTCTCCGTCTCGGTGCGCACCATCCAGCGCACCCTTGCAAGGGTGGATTGGTTGGCGTACACCAAGATGGTGAACACGCTGCCTCTGAAGGCGGATGACATGCTTGCTCGCAAGGCGTGGGTAGCAGCCATGCTGGTGAGGAAAGCCGCCGGGTCTGTCTGGGAATCCATTATCATCTCCGATGAAAAGAAGTGGAACCTAGACGGACCCGACGGCTTTCAACATTACTGGCGCGACTTGCGCAAGCCTCCACGCTACACGAAGCGGCGCCAGGCTGGTGGTGGCTCTGTAATGGTCTGGGCGGCTTTTAGCAGCTGCGGCAAGTCGCCGCTTGTAGTGCTTACGGGGAGGCAGAACTCGGACGATTATGTCTACACTATGTCCGAGTATCTCCTCCCCATTGCCCATCTCAACTACGGGACCGACTTTATCTACCAGCAAGATAATGCAAGCATTCACGTCTCCCACCGCTCCAAGGAGTTCTTCAGCGAGCAGGAAGTTGCCGTTCTCGATTGGCCGTCCAAGTCCCCTGACCTAAATCCCATAGAGAATTTATGGTCGATCATGAGTAGAAAGGTTTACGCTAATGGAAAGCAGTTCGATAGCGTGCCTAAATTGAAGGCTGCACTATTTAAGGCTTGGGATGAAATTCCACAAGCCTTGCTACAGTCACTCATAGAGTCAATGCCTCGCCGATGCGTGGAAGTGGTGGACAAGAAGGGTAACAAGACACACTATTGACTTGACCATCATTCTATTATACTTGGCTTTCGTATGTGTTGGGTGGGCGATATATTGTGTCGCGACAGTGAAAATGGAAAGTTGTATGGGAGGTCCCCTACGACGTGCGAAATTGCGCTCGTTAGCACCAGTCTTGCATTTCTACCAATGACAGCATGTACATATCTAAATAGCGGCCGCTAACTCCAAATATTGACGGACCTCCAGTCCCAAACAAACGTCGGTGGGTGATCAATTGTGTCGCGGAGTGTATTCATCACGAGCAGTATCTGAGGATACACTGAGCCCAAACCACCCGGTATTTAAAGCGAGAGTGTTTACAGCAAAAGCACTTCTTCAGCAGCAGCATGGTGCGACAGTCCTGGCGATTGGTGTATCTCCTGTGTGTAATTTGAAAGCAACTGGCATACCTGGGCATCTCGCCGTTGCAAAGCAGGTGAATAAACTGCGAGAAGAGGTCACCAATCTTCACAAAGAGATCGATCAGCTGAAGACAGGCATGGAAGTCAATCTACCCAGCGATGTCGCAGTAAAGGTGGTCAGTGAGCTGCGTCAAATCTTTGTGGTTAATGGGGTCGCTCCTGTTTCGATCCGCGACATTGACGTGAGAATCGCTGACCTGCGAACAAACATGGTCACGGAGTTTCGAAGAGCTTTGAGCGCCATTCAATTACCCAACGAAACTACCATCACTGCCGTCACCAACTCTTGTGGGGAGCAGCAACCCGTATGACGTTCGTGGATGTGGAGAGACGGTCAGATCTGCCATGCCGTCCCTAAAGGTTGGGAATTTCCGGCGAGAGCGAATGTGAAGGAGATATGGAACCTGTGGTTCTTGGGCGATAAGGACATTGAAATCCGACCATACAGACTACTTAGCAAGCAGCACGAGATAAAGCCAGAGCACCGAATGCGTCACTCACGTGATAGCATTGTGATGGAGTACATGGAGCGGCTCGTAGAAGAAGCTGGAGTCTAGCCCGCCGGAGTGACCAGGATCTCTGCACTACAAGTACCCGCGGCTGACAAAATGTTCAACACCGTCCTCGTAACGGCGCTGTCACAGCTTTACTCTACGAAACCAAAGAGACCGGAGGACCTGTCGTGCACAACCGGCTGTGCCAATATCGTAGATTGCAACAGAGAGACTGAGCAAGACGTAGTGCATTCATAGTGTACAGCGTCGACATGTATCCATACTAATTCAGCCAATCAAAATGCGTAAAGTATTGTGATCTGATTCCTATCACACATGCAGTCATTATACACATCAGTAAAAAGGTGTGTACAAAACTGTGAAGTGCTTGCCAAAATGCATGAAACTGGCACGGCACCTGACTGGTACTGTTTGTCTACTTTGGAGCCGATATGGCTCCGCAACGCTGTTGCTGCTCTCCTGGCAAGGTACTACAGCCCAGTGCTCAAATTGTGTTTATTAAATATCAATAGTAATGCTAATGATGCTTACAAATAATTAACT